TGGCCGTTTGCTGTTTAATGGGTTTTTCCCATTTGCCTTTCAAAATTTATATATTATTAAAGAATCTCTATTGAGATCCAGCGGGCCGCCACTGATGCACGGTAGAGATTGCATCTTTAGATCTCCAATCTTGTTCACAAATTCACGGACTAGCTGTTTCGTAAGAATTTTGTAGGACGCGTTAAGAGTGACAAAATATTTTCTGTATCTACTGGAACCGAGCCACTTAGCTTGTATTCCACTATTTGCATTCCCTGGGCTATGTATATATATTGCCTTGGTTTGGCTCTGTAGTCATTAGTGGTCGTGGGACTAGTTTGGGCCCTACCTAAGCTGGTCGTACGTTTCGTTTGGGTCTATACCCTAGCTGCACTGATGAGGCCTGGAAGGCCGAAACGGATCCGTCTGCAGATATTGGGATTCCTTCCAGTGGATGCTTAGTTTATTTTGTCATTCTGATCGGATTTTCTCTACTGTTCCGTTTTAATTATATATATATATATATATATATATATATAATATGTCAATTTTCAAATTGCTTGCATGCCCAGAACAGAACAAAAACAAAACACATGCTGATGGTTTAAAATAACGTCATTATAACTATTATTATTCTTATTGATATTTTGATAATTTGATTCAGATTTTAACGTAGACAGTATTTATAGGCCTGTCCTTACAATACCTCCATGCTTGAACTCATTCTTGAGTTGACTTTTGAGTAACAACAATTCAAACTTTTTTTATTCAGTACAGTACTCAAAGAAAATAATAGAAAATATCTTACTAATATAAAATAGCTTATTGGTGAATAAAGTACCCGGATGTTTTATCTAATGAATGAGTTAAATATATGACTTAATTCGTTTCGATGTCAGAACTGAAATTCGTATTGTTTTCATTACGATAGGAAATATCTCACCATTGGTATCAAGTAGGCCTACAGTTAAGTGTGATTAGATATATTTTTTTTTAATTATTGTTTCCGCTTCGATCGGTAAAAATGTCCCATAATGTAAAATATATCCTTTTTTTTAAATGGTTTGTTTTCTTTTTATAAGTAGAGTAAAAGCATCTGTACCAACATTTTAATTTAATAATTTCTTCTTTACAACTATTTAATCTAAGTTTTAGGTGTAACACGAGTGCTGATTTCTCAAAAACTTACGAGGTAAATTTTAGTGAACAAAGGAATGATCTTTTGTTTATGCCCATAGTGGCTTGTATTTCTATATTATACAGTACAGTAGTCGTTTCCCTAACAAGTTGTGTGTACATTGAAGCGAATCCAATTTTTTAACTTGACCGCGTGACTTGAATCAGTAAATGTAATTGAGCATGCGCATTGTGTGATACCGCGCTTGCGCATTGGTGCTAACCTGTTCTTATGGGTGACACTGCCTCGAGTGTTTATCAAAACTTGTATGTCTTGGAGTAATAGTGAGTTAGGCCATTGAATGACTGACTTATTGACACGCCAAACGGCCCATCAATGGTAATCGTATCATCATGATCTTCTGTATAGTAACAAAGTGTTTTACCTTATGAAATTAGTCTGGAAATTAATTTGCTACATATACTCTAAAGTTTTCGTTAACTTCTGAATACGGCGAAACTGTGACACTGCCAAGTTATTTATATATTATTTTCTGACTGAACTTTAACTTCTTGTTGAGTATCGCGTTAAAGACGTTTACTATGGAACATCCTCTTTACGGTGGTGTCGGAGGGGCACCTGTTCTACACTATCCAGCAACTCTACAATCGGCACAACATTCGCCGTACCATCAGGTGAGTCATCCATTAAACAATAGTAGAATGGTTTGATTTCTTACGGTTTAACTACAATCAGTAATTCCTGTTATGCCTGACTATAATCTAATCTACCAACACTATTAAATAGTGAGGTTATAAAACAATTAAGGGGTTCCTAGTAACGTTAACTTTTCGTCGTATATCGTTATATTTGTTATCATTAGAGCCGTGATATTTGCATGTATAGCATAATAATTAGTTCATGTTACACTATCAACGAATTTCTATTGAAAGGTTAGAAAGACTTGTTGGTATAAGTTTATTGTATAGGCCTACGTGTTTTTGTAGTGCATAAAAACTACTACAGTACTTAATGTTACTTAAGAAACGTTACCATATAATAATCAATGGGATGTTTCAGAGGTTATTGAGAGACACAATTTTGCTGAATACGACAAAACGAAACAAGGTTAACTTCAAGCACATTCCACCTGTTTAAAAGTACTTAAAGTGATAAAAATAAATATTAGGCTTCCACAGGGTTCGTCAGGGCAGTCTGTTGAGGCGGAGTATCGGTTAGAACTGAACGCTAGGCTTAACTCAGTTCATGTTACACTGTAGCTGATTCTAGTAGTAATGCACTAGGCCTACACTTTAAAAAACATTAGGCCTAAATGTTTTCAAACTGTAGTTGTGTGTATTTGAGTAGCATATTTGGTTCTTTTTTCAGAATTGGAAGCAAGGCACCAGGCCTATCTATATAAATAATCACATACGAAATTAAGATAGGTTGCTAAACAGTAATGATGATGATAATGATGACGATGATGATGATTATTATGATGATGAGTCTAGAGAATGATAAAGATGAAGCTGATGATGATGATGATGATGATGATGATGATGATGTTGATATATATGATGACGATGGCAATGGCCAAGACTTCAGTGATGATAATTGATGATATTTGTAATTGACTTTGTTGTGTTGTTGACGTATGAGGAGGAGGAAGAGGATAATAATAAAAACAGATTGTAATTATGATCATGACGTCGAGAGCAAGATATGGCAATTGATAATGTTGTGGAGGAGAACGAGCAGGAGGAGAAAAATGAGGATTACCATTTAGGCCAATCCCTTAATTCTTTCTTTGCTTCGTTTTGATTAATCAAGTACCTGGAAATTACTGATTGTAACTTGTAGTACTGTATATTCATTCTTCTATTGTTAATCATGGTTTGTATTGTTATAAAAAGTTTTTAAATTGTAAAGAACGGCGACAAAATCCTCGATCGTGTAATTACTGTCATGAATAGAAAATAAAAACGTCTGATTCTATAGTGATTCGTTAATTGTTATCGTTATCACGAAAATGCTACGGTACCGTATATGGATAGGAGATTACCAAAGTAGATTTCAATTTTCTCAATAAAAAATATGGAGTAAACGGATAAAGAAATGGCCTAATACATTGATTAACCTTTAAACTCTCACAATGCTGCAAATTATTAATTTTTTTCATTGATTATTATTTATCTGCCGTGTCTTAAAGATAAAATACCGTTTCTACATACAGTTCTCTCTCAGTTAAAATAAAGACCACTTTGGTACTAGAGTTTCCATCTTTGGTCTCTAATTAGAATAATAAAGATAGACTTTTGTTAATTTTTTACCACAGAATAGTGGAGTGAAACCTGTACTACTTTGAGTTACAAAATTATTGATTTCATCAACTCTCTGGTTTCATTCATCCGGAGCCGGAGATAGACCAGTGGGTTGTCGTTAATTAAAATAAAATTACCGGGTGACACTAGGCGTGCAATGCATCAAAATGCATGCTTCTTTCGTCCCACAGATTGAAAATTCATCGAAAATTTTGGTTCTGTTATTCCAAGAGGTTAGCTTAAATCCTGCGTTTCCTCCGCTGGTGTAGGAAAGTCCCTGAACGCAATGGTGCTAATGGAGGTACCAGTGACCGCCGGCGTAGAAGTCCTGCTGCTTAGCGCAGCTGGCTGGTTTAGCATGTATACGGGTAGTTCCGTTAAGGTTGATCCCATCTACCGAGCTACCGTAGCATTGCTACTTATATGAAAAACCAACTTCATAAAATTTTACATATTGTAAACAAATATAATATATATAATTGCCTGTTAGTTTATCACAGTATATATATACTAATATTAAATAATTATAGGCACACATGATCACTGCAGATACAGCAAGCCACTGTTTATTACTAGATAATATTTTTAAAGTAGATAAATACTAAATAATTATTAATATTAAAAGAAATGTAACAAAAGGTAGATCTGAAAATTAAATAATTTAAAAAAAATATTATGTTATAAGGTTTTAATATATAGGCACAGAATGATTTGTTTATTTGTCGCATTCGAACACGCTATGTCAAAAATAGGATGCGTACGTCTTCTCAAAAATAAATAATTACTGGACATCACAACATTATTTCACTATACAGTGTACAGTTGTCATAGTTTTCAGAAGGTTCATTAAATAATAGCAATACTAAGTACAGTATTTAGTGTACTCTACCAGTGTCACTATTCGAAACACGTACAGTACTATTAAAAAGCCATCGTACGACCACTCGTTTGTTTACTCGAGGAGGAGAAATGACTGTCTGGCCTAATTTCTTCAAATTGATAATCCGTCAATCGATTTTCCTCAAAAACCAGATGAGATATCCAGATCCGAAACTTATCCCTACTTAAATGTGACTAAAAACTACGTACATACACGTGACCAAACAAACGAGTTACTAGCAATCCAAAACATTGGGCCAATTAAAGTAAAGTTCATTTCACTTCATTGACTTTATTTATAAATCGCGAATCTAATTAAACAACGATTTAAGCGAACACGCGTTATTCATACTATTATTGTAATAAACAAATATTATCTGACAAATACTATGTTATACTTGTAGTACTACTATGAAGCAGGTTGATATAGTTTTAATTTAGTGTTAATTGAAGCTGTTTACATCACCTGATGTAGTAAACAAAGTTAATGTGATTTGAGCTTTAGGTTTAATTAGACCAAAAAAAAAATAGATTCTCGTCCTCTCGCGCATCCATTTTTTTTCTGCCTCACCAATTTGTTTTTCTTTATTTTACAAAAATCTGGCTAACTTACATCAGTAAAAATCATCTCTCGATGGTTCGTGGTTGGGGATACATTGGTATGAATCATGTCTAGTGCTTCGTTTATTTGCTTTCAATGTGTCTACTTGGTAAAAATGAGAAATTAGTAGCTGTTTCCCATCGACCATCTTGGATTTGCCATTTCAGAGTTGAAAAAGTGCCCGCATTTTCCTTTTTTTCAAAATATTAGAACGAGAAACTATTTTTGGTTTTACTTGGCCTTAAGCATTATACTTGTTGATAAAGATTATTCTCTATTCCTTATCAATAAACTGTGATGCATTGTAACGATTGTCTGAGGACATTGTACGACATGAAGCTTGATCCTATCATGGAAAACTAATTCCTACACGGTAGTGTGGGTGATTGATAAATGCAATGCTAAGAGTAGTATTTATAATTCTTATATACTTATGATATTAATTACAATTTTGATAATTATTTATCCTAATCATTAGGGTTACAGATAATATTCAATAATAATAATGTTCATAATATTAAATAATAATAAAAACATTACGCCTTATAATTATGATACCAATAATAAATAAAAACATAGCTAAAAGAATTATTGAAAGTATTTTTAATTATTTTTATTTCCATATTTTTAAATACTTTTTAATTATGATAATATAAATTATAATATTTAAAATGAAAACATTAATTATATTAATAAGCTATATAATGATATATAAAAAATAAGTAATATTTACAATCGTTAATATATGATATGAAATTCTAATAACCATTATTAATTTCAGAATATGATTGCATTTTGCAAATTGGTAAAAAAAATAATATAAATCTTCTCTACCTTTAGAACCTGATCAGAGATACGAATTATTCATAGCTGTTTTATTTATTTATAATTGTAATTTCTACCGTATTTTTCATCAGAAAAATTGCGGTTTTCCTTTACATAAATCGACAACATTGTATTATAGGTTCTGAGTCATCTTCCCCGACACAACTCCATTCATATACACGTGGTCAGATATGAGCGCATAACGCCGTGCGATAACAGATAACAATGTAAAACCATTGTTAGGTATTACACGGTTTAAGTGTTGTTGTAATTAAACACTTAACATGGTAATTGTGTTTTGGAAACAAGTATACGCCTTTCGTATATTTTAGTATTGTTGAGGGTATTGCTGTACTTCTTTCAGGCGTAGCATAATATTTTGATTGTTGCATGTCTCTCACGTTATTATTATATCATTCAATATTGTATTTTTTTAAAATCAATTTTTATCACTTTGTTTTGCATTCAGGATAAAGACCAGCCACACATCTCGGCTTATTACAATTAATTTGAATGAAATATGTTTAAAAAAAGAATTATTTAATTTCATCCCGATAAAAAGAAAGCTATTATTTAACGATTAGGCCTACAGTATATCTATCCCGTTTTAATCTGATATTATTACCAGGTCTCCCTCCAATTAAAGACCACGCTTGAGACCGGGGTTTCCATAGTCTTTAGCAGCTTCGATAAAAGATATTTGTTAATTTAGGACCACAGAAAAGTGGTCTTTAATTGGAGGGGTCATTGATTAGAGGGAGACTTATATAAGTACTGTAATAAAAAATAATATAGACACACTGTGAATGTTGCCAATCGGGAGCAAGATGCAGTTGTTTGATACTCTATACAGTACTGTATTAAACGTTACATAATACAACAGGCGTGTTGACATTAAAAAAGAAAGCCCAATGATTACATAAAAAATAATCATTTTTAGCCTTTATCCAAAATATGATGAAAACCTCATAATTATTGATTATGATGGCTATTGATTTCTTGGTGCATATCCAGTAGCATAACTAGAAAAAAAACGTAAAGGGATGATCTGCTTCAGAATTACAAATGCGAAGACGGGTTCATATGCCATATATATTTCTGGAAATTAATGATTTCAGAAGTTTAGGCTGAAGTTTACTGATTATACTTCCGGTGTACAGTTAGCATACTACATGTTGTAGACTACACTACTGTAAGACGAACGGCAAAAAAATATGAAGCCTTAGATTGACAGTGCTACTAAATATTTGGAGTATGGTCCGCGAATGAATTTAATCTAAAAGAAAAAAGGAGTAATTACAGAAACTCAGCCCATCCCACCCTCACAAAATATTGTTGAAATAAAATTCAATAATTAAATAAATAAAACCAATCAGGGCTGGGACGCCACAGATCCCAGTAATTAAACACCGTTCTCAGAAAGGGAACACCGTTCCCAGTAATCAAAACTCACAGGAAATTACTCCAATATAATAATAGACCCAGACTAGTGTAGAAACAACATAAATCTTTTTGAATTATATCTAGGCCTAGCAAAGCATGGCTGGCACAGTAAGGACGCGAGACATGACTGACACACAGTCGTTTGGCATTAAAATTTATAGCGACGCCACCAGATATGCTTCTCTCTGATTCCTGTAAATAATTAACTATGTTTTTAAAGGCCTGATTGGATCGGGTCATGAGCACTTTTTTTGGTTGATTTTTTTTTATTTATTTAATGTTACTTTACTTGGGAGTTGTGTTGGAGCCAATTACTCTGAAAATGTATTTGCATGTCACAATAAAGAGAACAACGAATCGGTTTAGTATCGTGGGAATTGTTACTGTAATTAGTTTATGTTATAACGAACTTTGCACTTTAACATAGTACGTTATTATGTTGTAGATTCTGTCAGATATTGTACCCTTTCCTTCTCAATTGCTGTAATTTAATCAATGTTTTTTTGAAAATCCCTCAATGATTTTCAATGTAAAATATCCTATATCTTATCTTGAATGCAATATCAGATTTTTGAATATAACAATTAACCATTTAAAATTTAGTCGTGATAATTGTGCTTGAAACCCGTATAATTAACATGAACTTAATTAAGTAGGCCAGGATACTGTTTTTGATTGATAGTCGATAGAGTAGTTTTAGTAGTTTAACCATGGAATTGATGACGTATTATTAGTTACACATTTGTTGCATCTCTAGTGTGACATTTTCACATTATCCTTGCAGTAAATCAGATATTTTAGATATATCTGATTAACGATACGTATTTTTGCTAGATGTTGATTTCAGAAACATTTCGGTCTATCTGGGAAAACCGGTAGATCTAAAAACACCATGAAATTATAAAAGCACAAGAAAATATACATTGACAATTATTGTTATTATTAAAATATGAAAGTTGACGGCGGGCAGAATTACTCAAAATAAACTACTCTACTGTCAAGAAACTTCTTAGGCACCAGCTGAATTATTTTGATACACATCTATTTTGATTTTATAATGTAATCAGATGAAAACTTAGAAATTAGAGTTTTCCAGTTATAATTTGAACGAAGTTACATTTATCTTATCACATTTCAAATTCTTTATATACAGTAGTACTTCAGTTTATCAGCAGTATTGATTAAAATTATGAATAATCAATATATTTATTTTTATTATTATTAAAAATATTAATTAGGGGCCTATTTATTTTCTCCATTATATTTTCTCAATTTTTTTCAGTATTGTTTTTGTGTAATTATATTAGTGCTACCAACATGCGGTACAGTATATGGGTTTAAATACGATATGTTGTTGTTATTTTATATTTTGCTATAAAAGACAAAAATGGATCAATATGGATCTTAAATTCAATATTTTTATTAATTGATATTAATTTCAAATTATTCCTTAGAGAGCAATGGGTGGGATGCACCATATATCGGCAATGTCCTACAGTCCTCATCACGTACAGACCTCCATGCAATACCAACCGGACTGGGGTATAGCGAGCAGTATGCCCACAGGAACCACAGCACACACCGTCACCGCACACACGGGCATACTACCAGGTATGGGTTTGTGCCATCCTATTCACAGCAATGAATACATGTCGTCACCCCCTCCGTTAGAGAGCAGTAAGGCAAGGGACGTAGACTCCGTACACCAGGATGTTGATGACTTATCGGTTTCGACGAGTCCGAGCGGGGGAATCGACAGTGACGGTGCGGCGTCGCCGACTAAATTAAACGGTAAGTAAAGATGCAAATCGTATACAGCATTGTTGATTGTTGTTACATAATTTCAGATTTTGTTTTATTGTATGCTTGTCTTTTATGCACTACAGTATTATGATCTCATCATTTATTATATACTGTAATATTCTTATTTCTAATTTGAAAGATTCATCATAAAAATCTTCTTGTTTTTTCATATTAATCAAAAACTTTAAATAGGCCTATACAATGTTCTCAATTAAGTCAAAATATTGAATGTTCTTTACTTCCCCCGCCCCACAGGTAGCGTTTTATGAATTGTTTTACAAAACTGCACCAGGGATATGTTGTTTCTATTCTCAAAATTAGTTACAGGAAATTTAATAAATGTTAATTTAAATGAAGTGTTCCGCAATCGCAGAATATTACATGTTAGTTGGTAGAAAAGTGTGTCGTATTGACAGTTTCAGCATAAGGTTCATGAACCCCACTAGTCATTAGGCGCATTCTTCATCAACGATGGTCCAACTGGGATCGAAGAAACACCCTGAACCCATTCATATTAATCCGCCAGAACCCTAAGATACCGGTAAAGTTATACAACGCCGACGCTACCGACTCCCCATATATACATTCCCGATTTTTCATCCTGATCGTGCGCGTTTATTAACTTAAAAAATTTAAAGAATGTAATAATTTTTCCATCTTCTAAATATGCCGTAACATCGACCCTACTCCATCCCTATTGCCCTTTGGACACTATTTTGAGTGTGTATCCTAAACGCGCGCTGCAATAACTAGGGCACGCATCGATGAGGACAAATTTGTCCAGCGGAAGTACTTCAGCGAGTATACAATGATCCCATTCCTTTTGTTGGAAGTAAAGGTCCTTGGTACCCTCAGTGCTAAGGTAGAGATAAGATAAAAGCGGAGTCAATCAAAAGTGTAATGCCCATGATAGGGGGCATGCCCAATGCTGAACACCAAATGACCCCTTACTCACCGGCGCATTGGCTTTGAAATTCGCTCTAGCATGTTATATTTAACTAGGCCTAAAGCAAGACATCTACACCTGCATAAAGTACTTCCTTTCGTTTTGATGCCGGTGTCTTCATGTTTTAGTACTTTTAGCAAGTAGCCCGCACTTTTAACTTTACACCTGCTGGACACTTGATAATATACCGGTAGCATAAAATACCGTTACTGTACCACTAAATTAATTACCTTGGATAACGTGTATGTTTCCTCTTCCTTTTATACTTTGTTTTCGTAATCACAACCGTCGTTAAATGAATATTATAATTATAAATACAGTATAAAATAAAATAATAATATTATTAATATTATAGATTATTAATTACTGTATACAGTAAATTATAATTAGTCCTTTTTTTAAAATTTATATTTTTTTATATTTCGTCAGATATTTCAGTTATTTTCATATTTTGTGTTGATACAAAATAATTTCATTTTTTGTATTTTATAATTATGTCTTTGCAACCATTGATCATTTTGCAAATCATTACATTATACTCTTAGCATAACCTAATCATCATTGTCATTATCATCATCAATAACTCTTCAATTTCCATAAAGGCAACTGGCAAATCATTCATTCATGTTGCAATTATTCATTCCATCCAATGTCGTAGATTAGTGATTAGATAAGTTTCTCCCTGAATTTCTGGAAGCTTTTAGTTTTATCATGTTTTATGTACCACGTAATTTACTCAAATGCTATTGTTTCGCGTAATTACGCGTAATAACTCATCTTACGAGGTCCTGCCAGAAACAAATGAATACCCCGGGAACTAATTCTAGCCCGTGATAATGCAATAAAAGTTTACTATACAAGGCCTCACCGACCATTAGATGAGCAAAAAAACGAATAGGTAGTCCCCAGCGAGCGGTTGTAGGCCTATCTGCCAGTTTTTGGGCCTTCCTCTCTGGCTAATTGCCGTACATCCGTGACGGTATCTCACTCGTAAACCTGTGAAAATCGCATTTATTTATTGGCCCTTTACCTTGGACTAATTTCGAGCGGACGTTAAAATTGATCACTTTACGCATATACCCCACTTATCACCTGTGGCCTGAGCGATTAAGCAAGTAATAACTTGCAACACTAACAATAATAATAATTAATAATTTAGTAATTAATGATGAAATATTTCGTTAAAAACTTTTATGCTTTTTCTTGTCTAAACAACTAAATGCTGTTTGCAGACTGCAACCCCCTACCCTCACCGCACCCACCCAAAATTAATCAAAACATTTAGTGTTAGAAAGATCTATAAATTTAACAACAGGTCGAAACAAAGATGTTTTCGATGACATGCAGACTTGTACATGAAACACTCTTAATTTGATTTCCCACCAACAAAAGTGTTATGAAATAATATACCTTTCTTTTCAGTGTTTATTTTTTTTGTAAGAAAATGTTTTCTTGTTTAAATTTTGAATTCAAAGTCAATACTGTATATTATTTAAGTATAAAAAATTGGCCTAAGCAGTTTAAAATATTAAAAATTATATTATTGGTTCAACAAAGTATACAGACTATACCTTTCAGAACAAAATCTAAATAGGGCGACATTATGGTGATGGTAATAATGGTGACGAAGAAGGCCTAAAATATTATTATAGGGTTATTCATAAGCTAATTAACAACCTGTAACTTCACACTGTGTAATTATTGTATTTGGAGCATCACCATTATCGATATTCATCAAAGTTTATTGAGCATTAATAAATACGGAAGAGTCGATATAAAACTTTAAATTGTATTCGAAAAAAAGTGTGTAATATAGGAAGTTCTTTGTCACTTTTAAATCCAATAAATATATAATTATTTTCAAGTTATAAAATATGCACGGTAATTTTGATATCCCGGATTTTACACTTTAATATAAATATTATATTGCCTACGTTTATTGGGTATATTTAAAGACAAGGCCTTCTTTATTTGCATTAAGTTTTTTTTTTTTATGACCCACGTCATTTTCTCTAAACATAAAAGTAATCATATTATTTATTTTGTTCGAAACCTCAAATTTACAATTGCAACATACGCATTACATAAAAACTGTCAAAAAGTAAAGCAACAGAGTTCTTCATGTTAACAATGGTCGTTGGGTCAATATGCATTAATAAACAATCAAGATATATATATATATATATATATATATATATACAATATATATATATATATATAGGCCTATATATAATATATTGGATTCGACTATATATATATATAATTATATATAGGCCTATATATATGTATTATACCTGTCTCTTATACACATCTAGATGTGTATAAGAGACAGATATACACGGTAGTTTACCATTTTCTCCTCGATTTAATCCCGTTCTTAATTTAACCCGATATCAATACTTAATTTGCGTTTTATGTATTTATTTGTTTTTCTGTTATGGTGTCTATTTAAAATTTGAATTTTACGAGTAGACCTACACTTCTGCTATCGGTAGAGATCATTGTTCTGATTTCAATTTAAACATACTATAACATTGCTTCCAAGGAGATGCTTGCTTTAAAAAACGTAGTGTGACATAAAAAATGCAAACCGGCTTCCGTTGTGGTGATGGAAACTTTTTGTTTCAATTGACTTCCCTTGTCCACCGTTTGCTCTGTTAATCCCCACGCATTGTGGTTTTTCAGAACTCATGTAAAAAAGGAAACTTTACTAGTACTATACTAGGAAATCGCAAGCTTAGATGCGTTTAGTCTGTTAGGTCTTGTTGCCGTGTTTCGACATGATCTTTATAGGTTTATGTGGATCTTAAGCCATGACAAATGTAGGCTGTTGCTTATTAATGATGATTGTCTGTGGATTATTGCGCTCTTTCATATCCGTAACAACCTATTTATTATGAATTTCCATGAGTAGATTGTGTTAATTTTGCGATTGATTCCCCCTCCCCCATTAGAGCTATGATTGATTTACCCTCTTTCTCGCTGTTCACTGCGGTTGTTGTCAAACCATGACAATGAGACACTGACCGACCCGAAACTTAGGGTTCCTCAGTAAGCAAACCACCACCGCCGCATATTAATCATAGTCAGCACTATATACATCATGGATAGATTACCAATTTACCCATGGCAACATTAATTGAAAGAGAAAAGGAATGCTGAGATTAAGTCATATTGTAGACACCTATATTATAAGTTTGCAATTACTTCTTTAATTGAATAGGATTACAGCATCCACGTCGTAGATGTCGCTTTTTTGCTTATTTTAAATCATATTGATATGGACCGCAGCTTGCTTTTGATTTAGTTAGCTGGTTTTAGATTGTTGAAAAAATTATGTGTATGTTTACAGTTCACCAGTCACCTTGTTTACTACAATGCAAAACCTGCGCGTCACAATGTTCAGATATTTTTGTTTTTCCCTTTGTTGTGCTTTTTTGTTTCTTATCTCCGAGGACAAGTCGGCCAAAAACTTACACTCACTAATTAAGTTTTAACGAGCGATTTCAATTGTTGACAGACAAATTTGATATTTCATAGTTGGGTCGCTATTGGGTAGATGATTTATGGAGCGGCTACGGAGCGTTTATATAGGATTCCTCATCCTGTTCTATTAGTCCCTAAACGTTCGCATAGCTTATCGTTGAACCAACATCCGTATAAAATTCCCTCGACATCCAATGATAGTTAATCAAATCTCGTACTCTGCTCACCGAAGTAATATATTAAAACGTCAGCGGAGAGACGATCTCTGGGTTCTGTCGGTCGTGGTACTCCTGCACCGGGCTTAGCCCATCCGTCGTCAATCATTTTAGTCGAAAAAACAAAGGCATCCTCAAAAGTAACACTCACGGGGATAAACTAATACCAAGCACCCTGTAATACACAGCCGCTGTATCTGTGATGTCAGAAGTGAAGTTATGAGAATCAGTCCAAAATACCCCGTCAATTTATTTAAAATTCCACCTGGTCTATGCCTAACATGTAATTAGAAACGTATCGGGTCGTTATAAAAGTTACGAATTTCTGGGTCATTCGCTCT